TTCACTGTTGACCTCCTGAAAGAAATTCCAAAATGAAAACTGCCAGGAATGTTATAGCCAAATTCAAGGGCTCTCAGTTCAAAGAGAAAATACTGAAAGTAGCCAGAAAGAAATGATTCAAATATCATGGAGCCACAGCCAGGATTACACAAGATTTAGCACCTTCCATGTTAAAGAGGTGGAGGACTTTAAATATAATATTCCAGAAGGGAAAGGTGCTAGGATTGCAACCAAAAATAACCTACCCAGCAAAACTGAGTGCCATCTTTCAGAGGAAAAAAAGTGATATTTGATGTAATAGAGGACTTTCAAGCATTCCTCATGAAAAGACCAGGGGCAGCTAGGTGGTGAAGTGGACAGAGTACCAACCCTGAAGTCAGGAGGACCTGAGTTCAAATCCAACCTCAGTCCCTTGATACTTACTAGTTATGTGACCCTAGGCAAGTCACTTAACCCCATTGCCTAGCCAAAAAAAAAGACCAGAGCCGAATAGAAAATTTGACATTGAAACAGAAGACTCAAGAGAAGTATAAAAAGGTAAAGATGAGTGAAAAATCATAAGGGACTTAACAAGGTTAAACTGTTCACATTCCTATATGGGAGAGGATGATACACATATCCTCTAAGAAGTTCATCATTTGTAGGGCAGTTAGGAACCTACTTTGACAGAGGGTGTAAGTGCGAACCTACTCTTCAAAAGAAGGATGGAAAGGTGAGAAAAAGGGATGAACTGGAGAAAGGGGAAGGGAAAGGAAGAATGGAGAAATGATCTCACCTAAAAGTGGCAGACAAGGGAGAGTTTTTACAATGGAGGGGAAAACGGAAGCAGGCTGTGGCTGAAAATCATTCTCATCTGATCTGGTTCAAAGAGAAAAGAGAGAGAGGGTGTATGCGTGTTTAATACATATGTGTGTGTAATATACATGTATACATACATACACATATACATATATGTTCATTTTTATACACATATAGTTGGGTATAGAAATTCATCTTACCAGCAAGGAAATAGGAGTGGAAGGGGCTAAGAGAAATTGGGGGGGGGGGGTAATAAGAAGGAGGGTAGATGAAGGTAGGCAGTGACTAGAAGCAAAACAGACTTTTGATGAGGGGACAGGGGAAAAAGAGAAGGATAAAAAGAAAACAGGATGGAGTGAAATACACAGTTAGCAATTATAACTGTGAATGTGAATAGGAAAAAAATGGAAGAGGACAGCAGAACAGATTAGAAACCAGAATCCAACAATATGTTGTTTACAAGAAACACACTTGAAACAGAAAGACACGCACAGATTTAAAATTAGAGGCGAGAGCAGAATCTACTATGCTTTGGTTGAAGTGAAAAAAAGAAAAGGCAAGGGTAGCAATCACGGTCTTAGAAAAAGCAAAAGTATGGGGCAGCTAGATGGTGTAGTGGATCAAGCACCGGTCCTGGATTCAGGAAGACCTGAGTTCAAATCTGGCCTCCGACACTTGACGCTTATTAGCTGCATGACCCTGGGTAAGTCACTTCACCCCATTACCTTGCCAAAAAAAAAGTGGATAACCTAAATCTAACACATACTATATTAATAATAGTAGATAATATCTAATAATCTATCTAATTAAATAGATCTAAAGAAATAATCAAAGAAACTACATTTTGCTAAAAGTTATCATAGACCGTAAATTATAACAATACTGAACATATATGCAGTAAATAGCAAACAATCCAAATTCTTTTTTTATTTTTGGCTTGTTTTTCGGGGATCCAAATTCTTGAAGGAACAGCTAAATAAGTTACAGGAGGAAATAGTAAAACGATACTAATGGGGGACTTTTTGTATCCCCAGTACCCAGCACACACGTTTGCTGATGAGTTGATGGGTGGTCCCGAGTACTTTTAGGACCACATTCAAACTCCTCTGATTGGCGTTTGAAACCCTCACAGGCTCATTTTAACCTACCTTTCCATATTCTTCAGTCCAGACAAACAAGCTCTCTTTCTGTTCTTTTTGAACGACATTCTCTTTCCTGCCTGTCCCTTTACAGGGGGAGGCTTCCATGCCTGGAATGCTCCCCCCTCCTCCCCACGTTCTCTTAGAATCTCTGGTTCTCCTCCAAGCTCAGCTCAAGCAGGACCTTTAACATTAAGCCTACCTGGATCCATACTCCACCCCACCCCAACGCAGCCGGGAAAATCGACTTCAGTTATGTTGTAGGTGTTTGTACTATCATCCTCCCTGATAATAGAAGCTCACTGAGGGGAGGGATTATTTCATTTCTGCCTTTGTATTCACAGTGTCCAGCACTAGGCTGGTGCTCAGCAAATGCCTTATAGTTGAATTGACAAATATTTATTAAGTTTCTACCAAGTGCCAGGCCCTGGGCTAGGCCCCGGGGTGCAAAGCTAGCAAATGAAACATTCTCTGTTCTGAAAGAGAACATTCTCGCTGGTTGTCTTGAAGGCCTGTCTTGGGGAAGAAGGATTATACTTGTTCTCCTTGGCTCCAGAAGACAGAAGCGGGACTCATCAGTGGACATCAGGATGTCAGATCTAGGTTAGATGTCAGGGAAGAGGAAAAGAAGGGAATAAGCATTTATTAAGCACCTACTAGGCACCAGGCACTGTGCTAAATACACTGTTCTATCCTCCCAACAACCCTTCAAGGCAGGTGCTGTTACGAGGCCCATTTTACAGGATAAATTGTGAGGAAGAGTCCTACTATGGTGCCTGACCATGTGTGGAGGCGACAGGAACAGAACGCAAACTAAGGAAGGTTGTCCCACACTCGAAAGACTTAAGATCCTTTAACATCCCCCTGCCACAACCCAGGTCGGCTCTCCGAGGGTCTCCACCAGGACCTCCCATTAGAGCAGGTCTGACAATCGCTGGGAGGTCTTTGCTGTGGCAACACATAACACACAGAGAAGGCGGCCTAGCCTAGGCGTCAGGCGGCACCCTCCGGCTCTGGCAGCGCTAATGGGCGAGCATCATTCCTGGTTTCTCCCGCCAGTGTCTTGTCTGTACCCGGTTGTCTCCCCCCAGGCGGGGGAGGAGCTCCTTTACAGCACACTACCTTTGCCTTTCTTTGAGTCCCTATGCTTAGCCTCGTGCCTGGCACACAGTAGGTTGGCTTGTGGACTTGAGGGACTGGGGGCAGAGGGTACCAGGGTGCACAGAGTTTTTCAGACTGCCTATAAACATTCATCAGCCGCTGGTTCCATTTTAAATGTGATATCCTTGTCTACTGACCCACAGGGTGATGCTGGAAGCCCCTTCTCCCCTCAATCCCTATGTGTAGTACACTCTGCTGCTCCCACCATCTGTCTTCCCTAAGAGAATGGAAGCACCTCGAGGGCAGGCTGCTCTCTTTCTGCGCATTTCCGATTCCCAGGACGGAACTGAGGCCAGGGCATGCTGTGGGCAGGGCAGCGGGTCAGTGGGCATCGTGGCAGGGGCGCTGGGGCCAGTCTGGGAGCAGGGGAGATGGCCAAGGTGGGGGGAGGTGGGGGTCTGGAGCCTCCGGGCTTGGGGTGGGGGAGGGGTCGGGGGAGGTCAGGACTCCCGGTGAAGGGGTAACATGGTGGGTCAGGGAAAGATGGGGGGCTCCTGAGCCAGGCAGGCGGTCAGATGGGGGAGGGCTAAGGAACGTCTGCGAAGCGCCTACTATGTGCCAGGCAGGGCCAAGTTCCAGTGACAAGCTCCCACTGGCAGGGGCAAGGTCTCGGAGCTTCGAAGTCAGAATGGGGGGCTCATGGAGGGTGGGGGGCAGTGGGGAACGGGGCTGAAAGCTGATTGGCCTGCATGGGGGAGGCGGACACAGGGCAGTGAGGACCAGCCGGGAGGTGCTGAGGGGTGGGGGTGCCTGAGAGGAGGGTGGGGTCTGGTGGCCAGCCCCCGGCACGTGGGGGGCGCATATCCGCGCAAGGTGGCCCCCCCCCCCTCCGGGCATCATTAGACGAGTCTACGTGGGCGGGTCCAGGGCGCCGACGAAGAGGCGTTCTGGGGGCGGGGCTTACCCCGGAAGAGGGAGCTGGGGGAGGGGCCAAGGCGCTGTAGGGGGCGCTGTGGGGCAGCTCAGGGCCCAGTGGGGAGGGCGCCATGGCGGGGCGGAGGGCTGGGGGCGGGGCTTAGCCTGTAGCGGGCGATGCGAGTCAGACCTATGTCAGTCGGTAGGGGGCGCAACTCTGGCTCTGCGCGCCCCAGCCCCTCCACAGCCGCCCTAGCGCGGACGCCGCGGACCCCGCCGGCAGGGGGCGCGGCGGCGCCCAGCGGGGGGCCGCGGCGGCGCCCGACCTCGGCCGGCAGGGGGCGCAGCTCCTCCTCGGTGCGTTCCTCGTTCCGGGCGCCGGTCGGGGGCCCCCCCCAGTCGCCGCCCCGCCTCGCCCCGTGGCTGCTGCGGCGGCCGGGCCTGACGGGCGGGTGGTGCTCGGCTGCGCAGGCGGGGCCCGGGGCCGGAGCCGGAGCGGGGC